CAAAACCACCTGGCACAAAATTAAACACTCAATTAATAATATTGCAATACATTCTATCTCTAACAAATAATCATACAAATACAGTTATAATTATCAATACTTTTTTTATAGCACTTTATTTATTTATCACTTAAAGAACTTGGAACTTAATTAAAATTATGAAAAATTCTAACAACAATTTTGATATTAATCAGATTAATTCAAAAATTCAAAATATTAATTTAAAATCTTAGTATAATTTTCATACACTTATTTCTTACTAATATTTACAACTTTATTAATAAATCTAATATGTATAAGATATTTGAAAACAACTCTATTATGCTTACTATCATAAAAACTCTCTTTTCTTTAATAACAAATTAAATAAACTACTAAAAAGATATATAAAATGCTTTCTACATATTTTAAACATGCTATTAATAGCATTCTTAATTACTACAAAGCTCTTATCTACTTATTTAACATTAAACTTCTTAACTAAATAATTACAGATTCCAACCTTATTAAATAATATATACAATTTCATTTTCTTAATTGAACAGCTTATTAACCAACTGATTAAAACCTTTTTAATAACTTTTGATCTATATAATATTAACTACTATTATATATTAATACTTAATAGTATAATTCTCTTTCTTCTTTTATTACTAAAAAAGAAGTTACTTAAACTATAATAAAGCTTTCTAATAAAAAAGCCTATAGCTCTACAGATATTAGTTATAAAATGCTTAAATATACAAATACTATTTGCATTAAAGCTATAACTGCTTTGTTTAATTATTGTTTTGCTTTAGATCAAACTTCTAAGCAATAGAAGTATAATAGAATTTACTTTATTTTTAAATAAAATATATTTAATAGAGACCTTAATCTTACTTATACAATAAGTCTTGAATTTTTTCTAATATTCTTTTTAGTATTTTGCACTTTTTGGTTCTATTATTAATATTATAATTAACTTATTTACTAATTAACAAAATCAAGTTATTACAAATCTTAGTCTTACACCTTCATATCCTATACTTAATAATATTAATTAGAGTAAAACTATTACTTCTCTTCTATAAAAAATATATTATAACTTATTTATTTTATATATCCATAACAACTTTAATAATTATATTACAAAAGTTTTCTGGCCAACTAACCTTAAAGATCTAATATACAACAAACTTAAACTATATTGCTTAGTTTTGGCTTATATGAATAACACTTTTTGAATTGCATTCTCATAACAAAAGCTTTTACAAATTTTTACTATAGCAGAATTATTTTATAATATAGCTAATATTCAAATTAACTTTACTAAATCTATACTTACAACTAATAAATTTTAACTAATTACAATTCTATCATATATAATAATTATTTACTTAACTTTTATTCTTCAAATAAACTATTAAAGTTTCTAAAATACTAGTTTATACTTAATAACAAACAAACAAAACAGACAAAGCTTATTATAGCTAAGTCTTTACATTTTATTAAAATTGCAAATACTAAAAAAATTACTAATATACTTGTATAATATTTTATTAATACAATTATTATTCTTACAATTAAATATCACCTTTACAATATAATTTTTAACCAAAACACTTGTAATAAAATTCTTACAAACCATATTGAACTTGTTAAAACAAAGCCAAACTTAGTCATATAATTTTTATTAATATTTTACTTTATTTTTAATTATATAATATTTGCAATATATGTGATATTCAACTATAATATTATATTATAAACTATACTAAAAGACTTAACTCTTATGATCTTCTTGATGTTAATACTTGTATTTAATTTCAACAACTTTAAAATAATCTTTAATTATCTACTAGTATTTTAATATACAACAATTTTATTATTAATAAACCAAACAAACATTCTACTAACTTTAAAATTATTTAACTTTTTAAACATCTTGGCATAATATTTACTTCTAATTCAACTTATAACATTTTATATAATATTCAGAAAAGCTTTATTTTATTAAAATCTTATCTCTTTTCATATTCTAAATATCTAATTTACAAAAAACAACTTAAATATCATAGCTTTTATATTTAAACCAACTTATCACATTTGATAATTTATGCTTACTGAATTAAAAATATATTTCTTCTTGTATTTATAAAATTTTAAAAAGCAAACAGCTTTTTTGGTTTACTTATTTAGAAAACTAAGTTACAAGTTATTTCTATAATCATATATTATATTTATATTTATACTTATCTAATACTAATTACTATAGCTATACAACTAAATACTTCTTATTATATAAAAAATTCTAGCTTATTACAGTATTTGATAACTAAATTATTATTAATAAAATTAGAAAACAACTTTCTTAATCTAGTATTGTGCTTATTACTTATTAACAATGTCAAATTAAATTACAATTTATTTGCTTATATTCTTTTATATTTATTCAATTATATGCATATTCTAGCTGTTTTCTTAATTTACAAACAATTTTTTTTTATTTTTTTTTTGTATTAAGCTAAAGCCTTGCTTATATTTTTATTGGTAGTTTAAAAGTTAGTAGCTACATGAAGCTGCTATGTACAAAAAGTAAATTTCTATATAAATGCTATAGCTAAAACTAACACTTGCAGTCCAAACTAAATCATTAAACTGCTAACTATATAGCTATTGCTCTAAATACAAATAAAAGAAAAACTACTTTCAAGAATAAAAGCTCAGACATATTTATCTGGAATCTAAACCTACTAGAGTAGTTAAAACTTATCTAGATTTGTAAGTTTAGAATATAGTTATAAGAAATATTATATTTAACTCAAAGAATAGTTCAAATGTTGATTTTACAAATAGTATAGCCAATAGGTAAACAGATATTAGAATTGGAGTGTAATTGGTCAGATAGCTCATATAGACAAAAAATAAGTATAATTTTTGCAATTAGAGTTTTTTGTTGCTTTGACTTAATTAAAATAAGGGTCTGATATAAGGTGGTTTAAGTTCTTGTTGTTGTTTTCAGTTAGCAATATTTATACAATATGGTTTTCATATTTGTTCATAAGAAAGTTTATTAACTTTAAGCAGAATAACAATAATTGTTTTTTTTTTTTTTTTAAATATTAATGGTGAGGTCATGCCTTTAACTTTATTGAAATTCAATTGAAGTTTTTACAAAGAAAAGCTTGCTTTTAAATTATATATGAAGAATAAAGACTCAAACATATAATCTGCAACCTAAACCTACAAGAGTGGCTAAGTCTCACCTAGATTTGGATGTTAGTAATAATATATAAGAGAGGAGTATAATATTTAATCCATTGGATAGTCCAAAGATCAATTTTAGTAATAATTTGTGATATTGAGATAGGAGGTAATGATTGACTAGAAAGAGAATTATGAGTTGAGTTTGTAAAAAGTGTAATAGAGGACTGTGCTGATTTTTATAATTAATTTAATTTTTAATTTTTATAAAATTTATATAACTTCAGTATCTTTTTTATAATCTTATTAATGCTTTGTCTACCCTTACAAATCTTTCTATACTTTTAATTTAGTTAACTATATATAATATAATTTTATGTTTAAATTAACTAATAATCAGATTAGTAATATTTTTTATTAAGAGATACTTGTTTATATAGATTATATACTTTAAACTTCCTTTTCTAGATTAAGATTTTTAGAAGTAATATTGTCAAAGATTGTACTATTTATCTATTTAAAAAGGTTTATTATTTAGTATATATTTTTCTATAATAAAAATTTTCTTATCTTAATATCAAATAAAAATTTATAAAAAAAATTTATGATTTTTTAAATATAAAATAAAAAAAACTTATAATTTGATGCATTATGCATTATGATGCACTTATAAGTATATTAACACATAACAGGTTTTTAGTATTTTGGTTCATGACAGACTATTTGAAGGTTTAATTAAATTATGTAACCATGTGTTACATCATGTTATATATCGGTTATATAAATTACATATGTATTTGTTTGTATTATATAAGAGGTACACCATGATGCAAATGCACTATTTTAAAAAATCTTTAGTAAAAATTGTCCTATTTGTATACGTATAAATTTTAAGATATATATATTTTAATCTTCTGAATAACTTTACTTAATAGCATATAATCAATTTACTTAGTAAAATTTTGACTTTACTATATAAAAACATGGTGTAACATCTGGAAAATGCCAAACCTACTTTTTTGATATTTATAATATAAATGAAATTTTTGGTTATCAAAGGCATAGAAGTATAAGCCTGTCACTTCGCTCCAGACAATTATATTTAACAAAGTTTATTTGATCAAAATTAGTAATCTAGTTGACTTTTATCAAATAAAATTTACAAAGAAAATCTAGTTAGTTGCTAAAAGATAAGCAAAATTCTAACGTTGTTATGAAGTAAAGATGTCTTTTATTAAACATTTCATGTTTATAGAATTAAAAAATATTAGATATTGCGAGAGAAATTAGACTTGCACAAAACCCTAGTGCTTTACGTTCGCCTGATGGCACACATGAATTGCGAACTATGTACGTATTAACTAAATTTTGTTTTTGGAATCCTTGATTTCAAGATGAAGTTGGAAAATGTAGCAGAGGTCAAGAAAAAAGATATTGTAAAGTAATATTGATATATAACTCATAACGCGAGCCAAAATTTTGTCGGAGATACTGCATTAACGTGAATTTCGATTGTAGAAATTACAAGCCACAGATGTTGCACAACAAATCGACTCGAATTAGTAAATGCATCAGTATGACATTATATCGATAATTGTCAGGAAAGTGATCCTGGTTAACAACTCAGAGTTTTTGTAATTGTCTTCGAAAGATCGTTACCCTGTTTCATCCTTCACTTACAAGTTTTTCATTAAACCCTAAAAGGCTATATATATTGATATCCAATCAAGTCAATTCACGTGATTTGACAATAAAATCCGTAATTGATTCCAATAAAGTCAGACCAGATCTAAATTTCAACATTGTAAAAAAAAATGGGAGAAAATCCACATTATACCCAGTCATGGTATTTCTTCAGTTTCTTTATTAAGGTCTTGAAAAATTTCTCTTAATAACACGTTATTTCTATCAAGGGCATATACTTACGATCAAAATCAGCAGCAGTACCTTGTACCTCCGGGAACCCAAGCTTCAGATTATTCCAGCTTTTCATATGCAGCACCGGGTTCTACTCAATCTTACGCTCAGTATCAAACAGCTTACACTTACTCATATCCGACGTCTACAACACCCTTACCAACAGCCACTTATCCTCCAGGAGTAACGTTGCCACCATCGCAAGTAACTTCTAATTTTCAACTCAATCCTCCTGGAGTAACATCAAGTTCTTCATGGTATTCTGCACCAATACCAACTACGATGTCTTATCAAACACCTGCCTATAATCCAGCTTCGTTCGACCCTAATGTCTATTATCAAACGTATGGGATTTATCCGGCAACTGGCGCAGCTTCAGGAACATATCCTACTTATTCAGCAGCTCCATTACCTGAAGCTAGTAATTTTACCCACAATAACTCATCATTGTATGTATGAGAAATTTTAAACCCTCTTTTTTTTGTTCGGTTTTTAATAAAGTGTTTTTAGTCCTATTACTCCCTTACCTGAATCTGGAACAAATACCGTCAATACCGTACAAAATAATGTTATAAATGAGGGAAAGTCGTTAGAAGTTCAACAAACAACTTCCGGATTTGCAAACTTACAAGTCAATCCTAGTGCTAATAATGGGATTAACAGTGATGACCAAAAACCAAGTAAATTATTAATTTTATATTCATATACTAAACCTGTTTTTCACGCTTACCACCTTTTTTTTCACTTTCAGAACCACTCTATCGCCAGATTAAAATCCAGCAAAACAAGACCTTGATTAAAAACAATCCACTAGAAAGTCCAGAGCCTGAGAATACAACTACAGACCAACAAAGCTCAACCCAAAAATCACAGTATGTGTAATTATATGAAATATATGATTAATAAGACTAAGGACTATAATGGTAACAGCAGCTTTTCTCACATTCCATGAAACAGAAAGCAACCTACCGCTCCAAAAGAATGGCCTTCGAGTTTAAAGTAAAATTTCGGTTAAATTTTTTGTTCAGCATTCAGCATAATTGGATCAATTTTTTTTATTTGCATTTGTTTTTGTTAGGGATTATGTTCAGCGAAGTTTCAATGAAGCGCAACATAATATAGATGCCGTTGAGAGGGAGTTGAAAATCATCATTTCCAATAAAATGTCAGAAGGCTTATTGTACGAAACGGACTGGTCAAAAATGGAATTACCACAAAGCTGTAGATCATCAAGGTTATTATTTCAGTTACATTTTTATCTCTTTTATGGTCTTTTTTTATACAAATTTCCGAATACTCTTCTTTTTATATATCATTTTTAGTTTACTTCGAGAAAATGAAAAGCGAAAAAAGTAAGCAAATCGATCACTCCCTTGTACCAAGTAGTATTAGTACAAGCAACATGAAGTTCATATGCTCTAATTTCATGCTTATATGTGCTTTTAGCTTTTTATCTTTTAGTCAATCACCTTCTGATCGATATTCATTTGACAGCGATGAATGCAGCGAATCACAAAAAAGAGAAAAACGAGCTAAACGTTTTCAAGAGCATGAGAGAATTAATAGACCTCGTTGGGAACCTCCTGTTCAAGTAAGTCTGTCTTTCAATTTCTTGCATAGTTCTTTTTTTCGTGAATATTTTTGAACTTTACTTGGTATTATTATCATTATTATTATTGCTATTATTTCCTTTTTGCAGCAATTAGATGAGATCGATGTGGATCAAACAATTGTCGGAACTTGCCAGAAACTTGAAAAGTCATATTTACGCCTGACTTCTGTGTGTATATAAATACATGTGGCATTGTACAATAATCTTATTATCAATTTGTTCTGCTTCTTCTTTTGATACTCAATCGCTATACTAAATATTACGTGTCATTGTAAGGCACCTGATCCATCAACCGTTAGGCCTTTACGCATATTAAAGCAGACTTTAGAGTTTTTAAAAGCAAAATGGGTTGGAGATCAAAATTATACATATATTTGCGATCAATTCAAATCCTTACGTCAGGATTTAACGGTTGGTCAACTGTTCTATATAATTTAATTTTATAATATTTGCAGTCTCTAATAAAATGTATCTGATGCCCCAAGGTTCAACACATTAAAACTGAATTCACCGTAAAAGTATATGAGACACATGCTCGCATTGCACTTGAAAAGGTTTTTGTTATTTACTTCAAATTTATAAATTTTCTATGGATCAATTTAATTGAAACATATTTTATAACAGAGCGATTTGGGTGAGTACAATCAATGTCAAACACAACTAAAGGAGCTTTATAGATTGAATATTCCAGGTTCAGTCATGGAGTTTATGGCATATCGACTCCTTTACTTTCTGTATACGAGAAATCGTTCAGGTACAATTCTTCCTTTGTGTTTAAGATATATTTATTAGTTAATTTAACGTATGTTTTATACCTATTTATTAATAGATATCAACGCCTTGATCGCTGAACTTACGGATGAAATGAAGAATGACGAAGCGATTAAGCATGCATTAGAGGTGCGATCCACTCTGGCTACATCAAATTTCCATAAATTCTTCCAATTATACTTAAAGGCACCTAATATGGGAGCTTATCTTATGGATCATTTCATTGAAAGAGAAAGAATTGCTGCTTTACAGACTTTATGCAAAGCGTAAGTACAAATTTCCATCATAAAATGGGACCTACTTTTTAAAATACATAATATCTAATAATTTTTTATACATAGTTTCCGTCCTACTTTGGAGATGGAGTTCATACGAACAGAATTAGCTTTCAATGATATGGAAGAATGTTATCAATTTTTGAGCGAACACAATTCATCTGATTATATTTTAGCTGACAACACATTAGATACTAAGAACGCACAAAAGTCTATAGAAGCCAGCAGTAAGAAATTTGAAAAAATCGATATTAAGGGGCAAATCTGACGGGTCTAGAGGTTGGACCAGTGTTAATAAACATTGTCCACTAAATTTAATGAACAAATAAACGAATGGACAATGTTTATTGGTTGTTTAGTTGTTTAGTGTGGCACAGTATGCGTCTAACATTGTTAACTACCGTTATTAGATAATATTCGAAGAATAAAAAAATATTGAAAAAATTTTTATCAAATTTGTTTATTTCTTATTATGTCACTTTTGTGATAGACCCAAACATCGTTAAGTGACCATTAGATGGGAAAGTTAATAGTTTCAATAAGGTCGTGGTTTGCAAGTATTGTATTGAACATTTTGGTTTTCAACAGGCATATTTAACTAGAAAGGTTATACACATCTTTCTTAGTACAGTTTCATAAATGTGAAGTTTTTGCAAATAAACATTTGTCTGAAAAAATATCAAATTTTATATTTACTATAGTATTAAAAAAACAAAAATAAATTGATAGTTTTACAAGTTTAATTGTAATAGCATTAATTACATATGAACTTCTTTTTGAAATTGTATGAAAATATATAGCAAATAACTATTGATCTATTATTAAATAAAACAATTATTAAAATTTTCATATTAATAAAAGAATTCTAATAAGTTTATAATCATCAAAATTCAATTATAAAATTATAAAGATAATTTAAGTTTTTTGCAGTATAATATATTTATAAGATGAAAATTGGTTAGTTTATAGGTTTTTTTGTAAAATAAAAATGTCTGTATTTTGTGTAATAATATTTTTATTGACATATTTAAGGTTAACTTATACAATTATTTTTTATAGAGATAAGAGTATAATTAGTTATATGTGCAACTTTTGGTTGTTTATTTAAGTAGTTTGCTCTAGAGTTTTATATTAGATATTATATTTATGATCTACTAGAAGATTATCTATTTAAACTTAATTATCTGCTTTATCAATCATATTATTGTTATAAACCTCATATATACTTAATCAGTATATTGTTTAAGCAGCATTTATCTTTTTTTTTTGTACTAGTACTTAGACCATTATATATTTTAAAACATGTCACTTATTAGTAACTTTCAGAAGATCTTTCTTGTTAACTATTTATTCATTTTACAAACTATTAACAAAAATTTGTTTTTGTAAAGTTTATTTATATACTAGCATTCATTTCATAACATATTTCTAGTATTTTTAGTATATTTCTAATTTGTCTTTAGATTTTTAATTTAGATAGTTTAAAAGAACTGTAATTAGTTACTAGTATATTAAGTTTGGTTTAATATTATTTTTCTTTGATTTAAACTTAGTAGTTTGATTAGTAATACTTGTATTTAAAGATTTTTGTTTATCTAATTCCTTAATATTAATATTGTTACAAGATTGCAGTTTTTTTGATATAATATAATTAAGTAACAAGATTATCTAGTACAGTAATTGACTATTACAAATATATATAAAATAAAAGTATAATAGTTTATTTTACTATATAATAGCAAACAAACAGTTCAAAATAGTAACAGTATATAGATTAAACTTTATTAAACAAATATACAGTAATAATCTTGCTTATAAGAATTTTTCTAAAAAGAAAATATTATATATACGTATAAGACAAAATTAAATAATAAGATCTAGATTGAAGTATAAGAACTTTAAATTAGCAGAAAAAAGATAAAAGATATTTTTTATATATCTTTTTATCTAATAAAAATAGTAAAGATTCAAGTAATATTACTTTGATACTGTATTTAGAGTAGGGTTTCTCAAATTCAAATCAAATTAAATATCAAATCAATTTAAATTTAATTTAATTTAAAAAAAATTTAAAGGGTGTGGGTCCCATAGCTTAGCGGTTAAGCTCCCATACCCTCCACAGTCAAGGTCAACGGTTCAAGTCC